GGTAATGCACTGGCATGGTAGCCGATGAACAACAATAGGGTCATACGCCATTTGTTCCCTCAGGATCTTGGAGCCCATATGTACCATTGGTTTGGAATCAGGGTTTCCCAAATCTCCTATGTAGATCCTCTCTGTCCATCAATCCGGTTAAAACGCCGAACATTTTCTACGTATAAAATTGTTTAAGATAAGTTAATGAACTTCAGAAGATAAGTAAAACCTTCGACTCAAATTCATTGAACTAATGTAAACAGTGAATAGATGAATCATTGTTTGGATCCTAATAGATGGATATAATTAATAATCATTGTATGAAACAAACATTTAATCATGGAACAAGATGACAATTTGGATGAATGTATGAATAGAATGCAGTTAGCACTGTTGATTAACCTATTATGAGAAAGTATACCACCGAATAATGGTAAACCATGATATCATTGATGTAGTTCAGGATCACGACTTATTTTATGAATGTTGTATCATAATTCATGGTAAATAGTAAACTCTATAGTCAATGGATAATATGTGATAATAGATGTGAAAATACACATAAATCTGCTAAAAAAATATTTTACCTGAATGAAGGAAGAGGGTCACTAATTCCATGAGCAACTCTCCTCCTTTATCAGGGCCCCAGAGGGGCTCCAGGCGGAAGCTCTAAAAGTGGATAGGCCACACATTAGGGAATGCACTTAACTACGTTACAAGGAAAGCCCTTACTTAGAATCCTCAAGACCAATCGAGAAGAGAAAGACCAAAGAACACATTACGCTGAGAAATGGAGATAGACATGAGAAGAATGAACAACAACTGGATAGAACTCTAAAGGAAGGCTGAGGACAGACTGGTTTGAAGAATGCTGGTCGGTGGCATAATCCCGATTATGGGTAACAGGCGTAAGTAAGTAAGCAAGTAGGCCGAAATTAATTATAAATGTGATTGATGTTCAGCATTTGAGAATTTTTCTTGTTCACGAATGTTAGTGGTGATGGTGGGGGGGAAGAAGTCCATAAAAAATATTTTTGTTTGTTAATTTAACCCTGGAAGAAATCTCTTTTGACCTTTAACTATCTGTTTCACAACCAGGTGGCTATCACAATTCACTAGCTAAATGGATAACGTGAATGGTACTGGGTTTGAGTTCCGGAGTGAATATCAAATCTAGAATGAGGGTACATCCAGCTGACGAGTTCCAAATAAGACGAAACGCGCGTCTTAAATTCTTTTACTAGCCACTATTCATCTTTGCTCAAGAAGTTTATGACTTCAGATAATATCGAAGCTATTCGTATAGAATGTACATATACCAACATGAGACTGATCAATAACAGTCCTAAACATCAATGGGTAAATACAAATAAAACAACAGCAAGTGAATTGAAACTTCACCTCATTGTACAAACAAGTGACTATCAGGATTCAGTAGTTTAGTGAATAAGGCAATGAGGTTTAAAGCGAACGATACTGTGTTCGAGTCTCGGAATGAACATCCATAATTGAGATGTAGGTATATCCAGCTGACAAGCCCAAAAATAGGACGAAACATCCGTCGTGGATTCAACTGCTAACCACCATTCATCTTTGTTTATAAAGTTGGTGACTTAAGACAGGATATCGATATTATGAATTCTTGGTTGATTGACCAAGTGAAAAGCTTTCTGCCTTACATTTAATTATATGCCGTTGGTGTGTTGTTGTTGTTGTTGTATGATTCGAATGAATGATTTAAAAAGCTTATTTTCTATGGCTTTACCCATTCAGTAATTCATTTAGCATCGTTTCACATGAATGGTATATTAGTCTTATTAGAAGTTTGTTTTTGCATTCAAAGCTAACTATTCTCCTGTAAAATATTTGTGGCTTATTAAAATATAAGAGATTAGGATAGAGAAGAGGGATATCGATTAACATATGATTGTTTTTGTCAGAACGAGTTTTGTGGAGATTGTAGTAATTTCAATGATTAAGATCATGAGTCAGTTGAAGCTAGACCACCATGGGAAACCTGAGAGCCCTGGACGACCGTTTCGTCCTACCATGGGACTCCTCCGTAGCAGTGCGCATCCACGACCTCGCCCCTTGCTAGATTCGAACCCAGGACCTACTGGTTTTGCGCACGAACACTTAACCATTAGACCACTGAGCCAGTCAGTATCCAACGGTGTTAATATCTAACTTCAACTAATCCATGAAATTGAGCAACACATCTCCGATTGTCATCAGTAAGTTACTATCTCACAACTAACCACCCGGTTGAACTCCACTGATCACTACTTCTCACTAGAACTCCAGGATATATACCTCTTGAAGTCAGTCACTAGTGAGTATATGCTGATTATAATCAGAAGGGGTTTTGTAGAGATTACAGTAATTTCAATGGTTAAGAGACATAATTACATTCAAATCTATACATGCAACTAAAAGTATAAAACCTAGTAATTATCCTCTGTAACGAACAGGTTGTTACAGTTGACCCAGTCAATAACCTATATTCTTAATCATATCTCTATCTTAAACTATTGCATAGATTCAAACCTTTTTCTCTTTTTTGTTTTTGTTTTTGTAATACCTCCGGCTGAGAATTCCATATTGTACTAAACACATAATATTGAATAAAGCCATTAATGGAGATGGGGGAGGGAGTAGCAACATGTTTTAATATATTCCATTTTGTTTATGTTTGATGAATAATTTCTAAATAAAAAGTATATTTTATATGAAAACAAATGGATAAAATGATGACGTAATCAATTCATAGACTGAAATACATGACAACAGTTTATTCAAAATAATGATGTAATCAGGTGTATAAACCTTGGTAACAATACTACTGTATAATGAATGAAAATAGTAACTATTCAGTATATTCATTTAGTATTGTTTTATTTGTATCTTCTTAGTTTCTTATTGAATGTTTAGCAGCAGAGAGACAAAAAGATCGAACTGTAAAGAATGGAAACAGAATGTAATTTGTATGAAAATGCAAGAACAAAGGAAGTCTGAGTTATTCTGAGACAATTGATGGACACTTTGTAAATTGAGCATTTACTATATGATTGTTAGATTTTATTAACACGTTCTGTAATTTGTTGTTAAATACATTCGATTGTCTTCACCCGTTTTTCGTTCACTGCATTTAGTGTCGCTGACAACCAGGTGAGAGGAAGGGTGCTGTTCTGTGGACGCCGTTGCGGGTTTGGAGCTGAGTTGCCGGTTGGGGCAGTCTGATGCGGAGAGGTGGAGTCTAGTGGAGTGTTGTGGCTTGGCGGCGTTGGCTGTAGCCCGTGCTGTCGATGGAGAGGAGTGGTGGGACGTATGGCTGTTGAGTGGAAGTCGGATTTAGATGGCTCAGCAGGCCGGTGGAGCACGGTTTTTAGATGTCCCAGGTGCTGGGTGGATGTCGGACGTTAGTGCCCAGGCAGGTCGACGGAGCTATGGAGGTCAGTGCGCTGCAGACTCGACATTTTGACGGAGGGCGCAGCACAGACTGTAGAAAAGTAGAATGTTGCACGGCGAGCATGAACCAATAAAACATTGAAAATCAAATTCTATACACGATAAATGCATTGGATTTTAGGTTATCTTTCGATGAATTAAGTTCAATACTGTCATCGATGGCATACAAAATATCAGTTTCAATTGTAATCAATATCTTGAGTAATAGTTTACTCTTGGATTGATTAATAAAAGTTGCTGTCAGCACATATTGTAATTAAAAAGGTTTTTAAAGATCAAACTGTACAGTTTGTCAATGGACTGTTGATTATATCTCACAAAAGTATCATATCTATCATACATTAGAACTGTCTTGACATTCGTATTGAAGATTCTGACTTTGATATTAGTTGAAGGTTGTTTTGAGTTCCATAGGTTCTTCAATTGTAGGAATGCGGCCATTACTTTGTCAATCCTCGCCTTTCCGTCTGCATCTGATCCTCCTTGTTGATCGATGATGCTTCCCAGGTATGTGAAGGATTCTATATCCTCCAGAGTTTCGCCATCAATTATGACTGGATTGCTGTTCACCGTGTTGTATTTGAGGATGTTAGCTTTCCCCTTGTGTATGTTGAGGCCTACTGATGCAGAGAGTGCTTCTACATTGGCTGTGTTTATCTGCATTTGTTCGTGTGTATGCAATAAGAGGGCAATGACACTGTACTCTGATTATAAATGCTGCATAGATCATATATCTCACCTTCATAATACCTCGACCATAAGTGTTTTTTACTGATAAATATAAGCTTTATTGGTTTGCATACATTTTGTTCTATTCCATGCTATTTTATCTCGTTGTTCAAATTCTTATTTGATTCTTTAGCTTGATTTACTTCATGTTTTTACATAGGTCCTTTGTAGAATATGAAAATCATACATGTAATGCATCATTTGTATATATTTCTATAGTAGTTCTTTACATACTCCATCATTCTTCGAATTCTGTTGTTATTCCCATAGCTCTCTCTCTCTTTCCCTCCCTCTCTTTTCTTTCCTATTCTCTTCATTTGAAATCTTTTACGGTTAAGCATTTTACCATCTCATCTTGCAACATACTACTTATATATCTAACCATATAAGAAGTGTATATTAGAGTATCTAACAAATAAACATAATGATCAAATTAATTGTTCTTATGAAATATAATCTTTCTTCATATCCCTCTCTCTCTCTCACTCTCTCACTCACTCACTCTCTCTCTCTCTCTCTCTCTATATATATATATATATATATATATATATATATCTGAACAAAGGTTCTGCGTAGTTACCTCGTGGCCAAAACATTCTTTACATTCATTGACAATTTTATCACATTTTTTCCTCTTTTTTTTCTATTTCAAATGTGAATTGAATTTTTACAGGGAATTGACTCTATGGAAAAGTACTTTCTATACTGATTATGAAATATAAGAAAGTTTATTTTAACCGACAACTGAATGGTATTATCAGTATACTCATTAGTATGAAATCAATTGAGTCGTTCAAAAAATGTTGATGCATCTAAAGGAAAGGATCATCATCATCATCATCATCATAATCATCATCATCCAAATCATCATCCAAATCATCATCCAAATCATCATCATCATCATCATCATCCAAATCATCATCATCATCATCATCATCATCATCATCATCATCATCATCATCATCATCATCATCATCATCATCATCATCATCATCATCACAATCATCATCATCATCATCATCATCATCATCATCATCATCATCATCATCATCATCATCATCATCATCATCATCATCATCATCATCATCATCATCCAAATCATCATCATCATCATCATCCAAATCATCATCATCATCATCATCATCATCATCATCATCATCACCATGTAAATATCTGTCACTGAATAACACAATACTTATGATTGCTGCTAGATTACATTTGACGTCGATGGTCATGGAAAAGTAATACTTCCTAGTTCCATTACTAATTAGTGTCAGATGAAAGGGGTTTGACATTTCATTGTGTTTTAGTTATTTAGGATCACATTCTTTTATGATTGTTTAACATCAATTCAGTAATCACAGTAATTCATATGACATACAGTCTGTTATGAAATGCCATACATTTTCCCACTTCACAAGTGATCCTGTACAAATGTCGGAATAATTGATGTAAATTGAATATAATATGAATTTCAATAATTAAATCCATGAGTCAATTTAAGCTAGACCACCATTGAAAACCTGAAAGCACAGGACAGCCATTTCGTTCTCGTATGAGGGACTTTGGAGTAGTGCACAACCACGATCCCGAGCACTGGACTAGAACCTATGAACTTCGGTCTCGTACACGAACGTTTAACCTCTAAATCACTGGGTCAGCATCTAATGGTGTTAATATCTAATTTCAATCAATCCATAATCTTACACAACCCTAGTTTAGATTGACTCATGAATTGAACTTTTAAAATTACTACCATTTCTATCAAAATCCCCATTCTGTTAATCATATGAATTCATTGAACTACTCGTTCTGTTGTTTTCCATCATTGTCGACCATATATATGGAATAGTGTTATATGCATAGTGATGATTATATTGGGGGAAATTGAAATAAAAGAAGAGAAATCAATGTAATCAATTAGTTTGTCCCATTTTCATTTCCCAAAATAATTACCCTTATGAGTCTACTACTGGTCATAAGCTCAGATAAAGAAATGTGTGTGTGTGTGTGGGGTTGGTCAAAGGGTTAGCGACTCCATCTTGTAGAGAACGAACTCACTAAGAAAAGAAAACCACTAACCAATCGACTTACATTCATTCCATTCAATCTTAATCAAATAATCTACATTTGTATAGTCAGTCATTGTATAACATTTGGTCATTCAATGAACAAATGTTTGTCTAAAGACAATTAATTTTAAACACCAATAATCTGTTCTTCATATTAAGTTTCTTTTTTCTGAAGAATCAATCAATAAGTTGTGTGTGTGTGTGCTTGTTTTTTGATAGTTTTAATTAGTATCTATCCATAATGATATGTTACTTCACCACCCCACCCCACCCCTCACTCCCAGCCCCCCCAAAATAGTCAGTCAATCATGTGCATAGTGATAATTTTCAAACCTTTTCTATGTACTATAAATTTATAAAGAACATTGACAGATGAAACCAAATTGAAAACATGGGAGTATATCATCAAATTCATGAGAAATAAAGTAGTATCATAGTGTTCATATTGAAGTGTTTCATAAGTAAATGATGGAAGAACAAAAATGTGGAAGGAATGATGTCGTTTAATCAATAGAGTTAATTTATAAAATTTTAGTGTGTGTGTGGGGGGGGGAATTAGTGCAGATATTTCGTATAATGTAGAAAAATCAATGGTTTCTCTTCCCTGTTCTTCATAGTCATTATCTTAAGATAGTGACTGGTGATAGTCAACAAGAAACCTTGGACTTAGGTTTCGTGCTACTTGGTACTAGTCAACAAGGTGTACCTGTCATCTTGTGGGAAATGATGCTCTCTGATGGATTCAATCCCATGTCATCCAGCTTCACAGTAGATAGAATTTGATATGTACTAAGAAGGACACAACATGAATCACCACCCAGTGATCACTTACTTTTTTTACTTTTACTTACGCCTGTTACGCCTAATGGAGCATAGGCCACCGACCAAAATTCTACAACCCACTCTGTCCTGGGCCTTCTGTTCTAGTTTCATCCAGTTCTTGTTCATTTTTCTCATATCTATCTCCATTTCCCGGCGTAATATGTTCTTTGGTCTTCCTCTTCTCCTTCAACCTTGAGTATTCCATGTGAGGGCTTGTCTTGTGACAAAGTTCGATGCTTTCCCCAATGTGTGTCCTATCCATTCCCAGCGCTTCTTCCTGATTTCTTCCTCCACTAGGATCTGATTTGTTCTCTCACATCGTATTTCTAAGGATCAGTCCTATAGTATGTATCACCAGGATGTCAAACAAACCCAGTGATCAGTTAATCCTAAACTTGTTAGCTTCCTTACATTAAAATACTAACATCATGGAAGCATTTTGATTCATTCAAATAATTAACCCAAAAGTAAATCTCTCTCTCTCTCTGTCGCTCGCTCGCTCGAGTATACTACGATTATACGCCAATACGATAATAAGACTAGTCAAGTTATATCAGATCAAGTATTCATGACACAGAACAGAGAACCACAGTATAAACTAGATCATCACTTTATTCAATACACTTCCAAATAGTCATACTCAATGAGTTCGGAATAGAAATCAATAACCAGAGAAAGGAAAGTCACATATTTATTAGTGAGTAGGCTGTACCTGTTTGTCCACACTGAATAACCAATTATATTTTACTTTCATTATGATATATTAAATTCCTAAGCTAAGATAGTTAATCAATGCTTCCTGAGATGTATTGGATCATAATGACAAATACCCTGAAGTGGTAGCAGATCACATTAGCAACTACTCTCTTGAACAATGTACCATTTACAAAACTTTGATCATGAAGTTATATTATTATTATATAATATACCCTTGTGGGCCAGGGTACTTTTACATTGGTTTTCAAGAGAACCAGACACCATCCAGACTTTCACGTGACAACCCAAACAGTACAGCCCAAGCCCGTTAAACAAAAGAGCCAGACACCGTATAGGCTTTAACGCTACAATCTGAATAGTGCAGCTCAATCCTGTGGTGTAACCACACAGGTACCAAGCACCCTGGTAGACCATTGATCATTAAGAAGGCAACCGTAAATCACCAGATATATATTATGTTTTATCTTTTGTTATTCAGTCAGTTTAACTTCATCTGTGATATTGTAGACTGTACATTTTTGATATACTATGATGTCATACAGCATTGATTACACTTGATTCTTCATGACACTGTCATTATAATAAGAGCCAGCAGATTCGTATATTTAATCCTTTAAGTTTAGAGAACTAACAAACTCCTAATTTACCATGGAACCTCAGTATTTTTTTACTTCATAACTAAAGTTTTATAATCATGTTATAGGCTATAATTTTTTCTGGTTAGCGTTTTTTTTTAGCGAAATCGTTCATGGAGGACAGTTGACAAAGTCGTTCGAAGTAAAGACCGATGTCAGGCAAGGTTGCTTACTCTCACCCTTTCCCTTTCTCCTGGTGATCGACTGGATCATGAAGACGTCAACATCTGAATGGAAGTACGGGATACAGTGGACAGCTAGGATGCAATTGGATGACTTCGCAGATGATCTGGCTCTTCTATCGCAAACGTAACAACAAATGCAAGATAAGACGACCAGTGTAGAAGTAGCCTCAGCAGCAATAGGTCTCAATATACACAAAAGGAAAAGCAAGATTCTCCGATTCAACACAGCATGAACCAGTAGAATCATACTTGTCTGTGAACACCAAAGTCAGAATTTCGAATACAAATGTCAAGGGAGTTCTACTGTATGGGGCGGAAACCTGGAAAACTACGAAAGCCATCATCCAGAAGATACAAGTGTTTATTAACAGTTGTTTACGCAAAATACTTCGGATGCGTTGGCCGGACACTATTAGCAACAACCTACTATGGGAGAGAACAAACCAGATTCCAGTGGAGGAAGAAATCGGGAAGAATCGCTGGAAGTGGATAGGACACACATTGAGGAAAGCACCGAACTGTGTCACAAGACAAGCCCTCACATGGAATCCTCAAGGTCGAAGGAGAAGAGGAAGACTAAAGAACACACTACGCCGAGAAACGGAGATAGACATGAGAAAAATGAACAAGAACTGTATGGAACTAGAAAAGAAGGCCCATGACAGATTGTGCTGGAGAATGCTGGTCGGTGGCCTATGCTCCATTAGGAGTAACAGGCGTAAGTAAGTAAGTAAGTAATAGGCTATAAACTGAGTTAAAACCATTTGTTTATTGTTTCTTCATTTCTATATAAATCACTTTTTGTTTCCTTTCTCTTCTAAACGATCTTCTCAATCTTCTGCCCCCCCTCTTTATTTCACATTCGGTCGATGTTACATACTACTTATATCGGCAGATATAAGTGGCACACAACACATTATATAAGTTATAAAGGTTTCGAATTATGGATTATGTTACAGACTTACTTCAACTAATTGATCACCACAAAACTATAGAGTATTGGAACTTGGTTTGTGGAACAATAGTTTCTAAGGTATCTAAGAAACATAATCTTTTTATTTTGTTTTTTCTTTAAAGATAAATAATAAACATATTCTTTTTGATTGAGATTGTGAACTGATTGATGTTAGACCATCATCATTGAAAACCTAGAAGCACTGGACTACCGTTAAGTCCTATTGTGGGACTCACTTAGCAGTGCACATCCACGATCCTGCTCGCATGATTCCAAAACAGGGCCTTCAGTCTCGCGCGTGAACGCCTAACCTACTGGACCACTGAACCGGCATCCAACGGTGTCAATGTCTAACCTCAACCAATCCACGAAATTGCTCGATCAACTTCTATTGTACTGAGGTATACACCTGTATCTACCCGACACGGATTATCTCCGATGGTGGTCTCACGTTAATCGGTTCATGATCTCAATCAAAAACTTGACAATCTCCACAACCCCTAAACTGATAATTACAATGTGCTGACTAATGACTAGCTTCATGAGAAAATTCGCGGAGTTCTAGTGAGAAGTCTTGACCAGTGGAGCTAATCCGTGTTGGGTAGAAACAGTTGTCTCCCTCAGTACAATGGAAAATGGTCACTCAATTTTGTGGATTGTTTGAGGTTAAACATTAACACTTTTGGATGCCGACTCAGTGGTCCAGTACATTAAGCGTTCGCGCGCGAGTTTGAAGGCCCTGGGTTCAAGTCCTGCGAGAGAGATCATGGATGCGCACTACCATGGAGGTGTCCCACAATAAGACGAAACAGCCGTCCAGTACTTCCAGGTTTTCAATCATGGTGGTCT